TAGAAGAAAGTGCTCTGAGACAGAAGGCAAGGATAAAATGGATTCAATTAGGGGATGCCAACAATAAGTTCTTCAGCTCAATTATAAAGGAGAGAAATCAAAAGAAACAAATTAGGAATATTATGTCTTTGAAGGGTAAGATGTTATATACTCAGCAAGACATTCAGGGTGAGTTTGTGAGTTTCTACAAGAGTCTTATGGGAACTTCAGCAGGCAAACTACAAGCCATTAATACTCAAGTGATGAAAAGAGGGCCTACTCTAACAAAGCAGCAGAGGATACAACTATATATTGAGGTAACAGAACAAGAGATATATGAAGGTTTAAAGTCCATAGGGAATGATAAGGCACCAGGTATAGATGGTTATAATGCTTACTTTTTTAAGCATACTTGGCAGATCATTAAAAAGGATATCATTGAGGCTGTTCAGAGTTTCTTCAGAAATGGCAAGTTATACAAAGCTTTTAATAGTACTCTAGTTTCTCTCATTCCAAAAGTTCAGAATCCCAAAACAGTGAAAGAATACAGGCCAATAGCTTGATGTACTGTGGTATGTAAGATCATCTCCAAAGTTCTAACTAATAGGATGCATGGAGTGATTCAAAGTATTATTTGTGAAAGCCAGGCAGGATTTATTCCAGGAAGGAAGATTTTTGATAATATAATGCTTGCTCATGAGTTGGTTAAAGCTTATACTTGGAAGCATATCTCTCCTAGATGCATGTTGAAGATTGACTTGCAGAAGGCTTATGATTCAGTGGAATGGGCATTCTTGGAGCAAGTAATGTTTGGTTTAGGATTTCCTGAGATGTTTGTACAATGGATACTGAAATGTGTCAAAACTATGAATTACTCTGTCATAGTTAATGGGCAGGTTTCACAAAGTTTTGAAGCAGCTAAAGGGTTGAGACAAGGAGATCTAATGTCTCTTTTTCTGTTTGCTATAGCAATGGAGTATCTTAGTAGGATACTTAAAGGTCTTAAGGATGATAAAAAGTTTAAGTATCATCCTAAGTGTTCAAAGCTTGATGTTACTCATTTATGTTTTGAATATGACCTTTTATTGTTTGCAAGAGGTGATCTGAGTCCGTTAAAGCCATTCAATTATGTTTCACTCACTTTTATCAAGCTTCAGAGTTACAGGCTAACCTCAATAAAAGTTCAATATATTGTGGAGGTGTGCAAATAGAAGTGAGATAACAGATTGTTCAACAGCTAGGATACAACATGGAGGAATTGCCTTTCAAATACTTGGGAGTGCCATTATCAACTAAGAAAATGTCAGTTATGCAATGGTATCCATTTATTGATAGAATACTGGCAAGAATCAACTCATGGACAACTAGGAAACTATCTTATGCTAGGAGAGCTCAACTAGTACAGACAGTGCTATTTGGTGTTCAATCTTATTGGGCACAATTATTCATCTTTCCAACTAAGATAATCAAGTTGATTGAGAGTTTGTGTAGAAGCTATTTATGGTCAGGAGTTCGATATGTTACTAAGAATGCTCTAATATCATGGGAGAAAGTTTGCAGGCCTAAAAGTGATGGTGGCATGGGGTTGATAAACATGCAAGTGTGAAAAAGAGCAGCAGTAGCTAAACTCTGTTGGGACCTAGAAAACAAAGAAGACAAGCTATGGATCAAGTGGATTCATGCTTATTACTTAAAAGGTCAAACTGAATGGCAGAAGAGAGATCAAGCCAGCTGGATGATCAGGAAAATTATGAATGATAAACACATAGTTGATCAGTGTCAACCAAGGCAAGGTAAAGGGGTGATCAAGCACATTTATGAATATCTTAGAGGGGAGAAGATCAATCCTGAATGGAGGTGTTTAATATTTAAAAATGCAGCCAGACCAAAAGCTATTTTTACTCTATGGATTTTGTTGAATAGGAATCTAGAAACAGTGGATAGGCTTACTAAATGGGGAATGACCCTTGATAGAGCTTGTGTATTGTGCAAAAGCGCAAATGAGAGTATGGAGCATTTGTTCATCCAGTGTCATTATGCTGGAGAAGTATGGGAAAGGCTATTAAGGTGGATCAATGTACACAACAACAGGACAAAGACTTGGACACAATTTCTTCAATTGTGTGTTAAAAATGGGAAAGGGAAGACTGTTAGAGCACAAATATTCAAGGGGATACTTGCTGAAGGAGTGTATGGACTGTGGAATGAAAGAAATAAGAGAGTTTTTGAAGAAAAAGTAGTTTGATAGATGAAGTAGTTAAGAGGATAGCAAATGTAACTATTGCTAGATCTTCAAGTAGTATTAACAATATTATTAAGCATAGGAACATTTGAGTTTATAGTTGATAGAGTAGTGTTACAGAGTTGTATTTTTGGTTTTAAGCATGCTGTGTTAGCTGCTAGTTTTGTAAAGTTTGCTTCGGTAATTAATAAAAATATACTTACCGAAAAAAATAATAACAACAACAAGAACAACACCAACAACAACAACAACAATAATAATAATAATAACAATAATAAC